CACAGCGAGAAGGCGACTAGAATTACCAGTACCAGTACCAGAAGCAGAAGCACAATCAGCAGCAGAAGCCGAGGCAGAAGCTAACCAAGATGCTGGCAACAGAGGCATCAGAGACAACAGGTCTTCCCAGTCTCAGACGACAGCGACTCCTTTTGGTTATTTGGTGCATGTGGAAACCAGTCAAACCTCATTCGAGGCAAACAACAACAACAACTTCTTTCGAGCCAAACGTGGCACGAAATGCATTTGTTGTTTTGTTGTTTTTTTTTTGTTTTTTTTTTTTTGGAGCAGCTACTGACAACTTGTCGACTGCTTGTTGCTGCTGCCATTGACAATTATTTACCGTTTGGCGCTTAACTGTTAATTTTGCCATGACCAACAGTTTGTTGCCCCAATTCAAGTTTGCATCCTCTGTTTAGCGATCGACAAACATGCCACGCATATTTTGCAGTCGCACTCTTCAATTTGACAAGACACACACACGCACACCTTTCTCTCACACACACGCACACCTCTACTCCTCTCTCTCTCTCTCTCTCTCTATTATCTATCTGCAAATACTAGTCACTTATATAGATTCCTGTAGAGTCATGACTGCTTGCAAATGTAATTAAATGTGTCTATATTTTTTTTTTGCTCTGCTTGTGCTCCTGGCACAAGAAATGTTAAAAAGTTTTTCTCGTTTTCACAATTTTCTTTCGTTTGGTGATTGCCGCCGCTCTACGCGCTTCTCATTAATTTGAAGAAAAAAATTACAGGATGAGCGTACTATTAAATTGCAATTAAATGATTGCACGAAATGGCCAAACACGTTTTTGCCAACTGCTTTTCCATGCTCCTTTTTCTTTTTTGCACATTTTCATTTGATTAACTGCGGTTGGGAAAAATCTGTGACGAGCTGCAGCTGTCAGATATATATATATATACTGCAGCTAATTAGATTAGAATGAGTCTCTCTGAAACTTGTACGCAAAGCAAAACTCATTAAGAGTTTGAAGAAAAATACCGAATACTGATTAAAAGTATGAACACTTGGCAGCTTAGTTAGCGCTGTGCTAACCTTGAACTTGGCTGCAAGGTTGCAAGGTCAATTTCAAATTCCATGACCAAAACGACGAACGAAAAAACCAAAAATCAATTGAAAATTTGCATATGCATGAATTTTCTACAATTTTCCTGCTGCTGCTGCTGTTTGTTTTTGGCCAGGTCAGAGATGAATTGAGTCGATTCGAGTTGAATTTCTGCTTCCACAAGCAACCTCAATATTTATTCGTTTGTGTGTTTGACCATTCATTCAGCAACAACAACAACAACTCGAATCGACTCGCCTCGACTCGATTTTGTTTTCCACGGTTTTTCCGTTGAATTTCGCCTTTTGTTCACTACTCCTGCCTGTCTGCTTGCCTTGGACATTGGCCAACAGCTTGCCAACATTTTTTTATCATTGTCAAATTAAATAAAAAAAAAACTATTTGGCCAACTGTTATTGCTCGTCGTTCGAGCCATTCTAATAAATCCAATCAAAGTTATCAGTGTTAATTTTGTTTGTGCAGCTTGCAGTGAAAAATTAATAAGTTGGCTTCATAAACAGATTTAGATTTAATCAAATGATATGGGCCTAAAAATACACACACGCGCACGCACCAACACAGAAGCCGGCATTAATAACAAAGTCAATATATATCAATGTCGCAAACTCGATTAAATATGCCAAGACACCCACAACACACCCAGAACAGAGACAGATATAGGGACAAGGGCAGAGGGCAGAGGGATCAAGGATGCGGGTAGAATGAGAAATGGCAGCAGATTTTTAGCCGCATTCATGTGAAAATGTGTGCATGGGTTCGGAAAAATACTTTTAGAGCTCTACATAAACTATCAGCAAACGCATTGCGAAGGGATAGAGAGAAGAAAGGGGTGGGGATTGGGGATTGGGGTTTTGGATGGGAGGAAATGGTTTGACATTTTATGGGCAGCAAAACATTCTGTGGGCGCAACTGACAGCAAGCATATAATGTAACTTCCAGTCCGCACCCCGCCCAACTCTTAACTGTTTCATCGACGGGTCGAGTAATTTTGTTGCCAACACGCATTAGATACAGAGAGAGAGAGAGAGAGAGAGAGAGAGAGAGTGAGAGTGGAGGAAGTTGGGGGGCGGATTCGGTTAGGTGAAAAGAGAAATCGAAAATGTAACGCTTGAAAATTGCCTGTCAAATGACAAAAATGGTTTCATTTTTGTGCCCCTAATCGCAATTGGTCATTTTTATGACCGAGTTGGGTACACAAAAAAAAAAGCAAAAGCTAAATGAATAAAAAAAACTTTTTGGGTTGCGTGAGATTAAACATAGAGACCCGATCAGCCCTTGACCCCTCCACCCCTCGATATCACATTTGTGTAATGGAGCTAGGCACAGTGGGAGCCAAAACAAAAATGGCTTACGGCTTACGACCAACTCTCGATTATGGCTTTGTTTTCTCGTTTTTTTCGGGAACTATACGCCAAGTGAACAATTTTTGTGTGTGAATCGAGGTTGAACTTGGAACTAGCTGTTTGTAAATAGTCTCTTGTAAATAGTCTTTTTGAACTTGAGTTGAACTTGAACTTAAACCTGAGCTTAACATTGATTTTCAGGTCAGTGTTAAAGGTACCACTTAAGTGAATACGAGTATCAATTAAACTGAAATATAATCATAGGAACAAAAATTAGTAAAGCCAAGGTAAGAAAAAAAGGTTAAGCAAAGGCTACTTAGTTCATTAACAAAGACTAATCAAAATTCAAGATGATTAATAATTTTTTGGTGAGAATGTTTGAAAATATTCTAAGCATTTGTTTAGAATGAAAACTTTTGTTTAACATTCACTTTTAAGGTTTTAAAGATAAAGATACGAAAACGTTAAGTTAAGACTGTCTAGCTGATTATCAATTAATCAAAATTAATGCCGATTTACTATTCAAATTTTTATAATTTTACCAGAACTAATTTTAGTTGGAAGTAAATCAAAGTATTTATTAGTAAAGAAAACTCTTGGTTAGCGTTTTAACATTTTCACAATGCTTATATTTTTCTATTATATTAATTTTTAATAAGTTCGCTGGATGCAATTTCAGCTGACGTGTTTAGGAATTTGTTTAGATAGAAAATATTTGTTTAACATAGTTTTCACATTTTCACAATTAGCTTTACAGTTTTTATGCTTTTGTTTAGTATGTGTATTTTTAGCTTTTCTAAATTTGTAGCGAGCACATTTCATACATTTTAACAGCAGCAAGCACTTTAAAGATTGTACGCTCATAAGCCTTTTTCATTTGTGTAGTTTTTTTTTTTTGAGCGCTCTTGTTTAAATTGCAGAAATTTCTCACTCCAGTGAGTCGTAAATGTTGCAATTGCAAAATGCTGTTGTAAAGGGCTTAAAATGGGCTTGAGCCATAAATCGCTTCCACGCAATTGCATTGATTGAGGCGGATAACGAGGTCCTTAGCCATTGCAATATAAACATTGCCTGGCCCCGTTTAATGAAGCATAAACCAAGAACAGCCTGCTTCGCTAGCAGTTTTACTTATTGATGTTGTTGTTGTTGTACTTGTTGGTTCTCAGCTCGTTATCCGCCATGTACACCTTGGAGCGGAGCGAAGCGGATGATAGGCCCAATGTCCAATGGACAGCACAAGACATAAAACTGTCAAAAAGTCGCCAATATAAATCGCTAAACTAAATGCCTTTCATAGTTTAATGTCACCTCGGGGGATTTGCGGCACACACACACAACACACATAGGGGATCTATAGTTGGACCTGCTTAGGAGCAGACAACGCGTCTCTATCGCTTGTCGGGTAGAAGAAGAAGAACAACAACAACTGGTTGGGCAAAGGAACAACTGAGAATGGAGAGCTGAGAACTGAGAACTCAGCAATGACTCCAGTTTGGATACCCTTGCAGAGCGGGCCATAGAATTTTTTGGCTTGAAATATATAACGAAATAAAGGACTTCATGCAGAGGAATAATGATAGCGAGTGAAAGTCAGAAATAAAACTAGAGAAAGAGAGAGAGAGCGAATTGAGTTTTTGAGCTGTTGATTGGCAGCTAAATAAAATAGCTCCAGGACGGAAATAAAGGTAAGGCATCCAAATCTTAACGAAAAAATGGCTAAAATGGAATTCAACAACAAAACTGAGAGGAAAATCAACTTAAGAATAATAATAATAAATATATCAAAATCTAAAACAACCAATCGTCATTTAACCAATCTAGTAACTAAACTAATTTCTCATCATTTGATCTGCGCTTTGAAAAGGGTATGTCTGTATTCGCCTTGTTGCAACGAGCTCCACTTTCTTGTTAGCTTTGGCATTGGTGTCCTGGTCCTGGTCCACTTGGTTGTCATTAGGGGCGCATGAATTATGCAGTAGCCCAAGTGAACTAGTTGCAACAACGGACTGTGGACATCGGACATGGGACAAGGGCTCGGGTTTGTTTGTTGTTTTTAATTAACTAATTAAGATTTTTCTATGTCGCTTGCAGCAGCAGCAGCAACGGCAGTAACAGCGGCAGTCGGCGAGGTGAGTGTGGAATGTTGGCATCATTTGTTGTTCCAGGGCAAGTTGCTAAGGACCCAATTAACCTTTTATGGCCATTTGGCACAATAACGAGAAACGAGCAGAACTGAGTAGCAGAACTAGTCGAGAAGTAGTAAAGAAATCGCGAAAGCGAATCGGAAACCGCAAGCGAAGACAATGCGAGATGCCACACTTTGGGGGGGCAAGTTGCAAACTGCAACAGAGGAGACACAGACTAAATTCCTGTTGGCCATACTTGGCGTTTATTAGTTTTTGGCCTACACAATGGTTCTGGTATTTTTTACCTTTTTACAAATTCAAACTACAAATTGACATTGGTGCAAGCCAGAAATTTATGCAGCTGCCGCGTTGCTTTGCGACAAACGTTGTTTACCTCTTTTATTTACACATTTATGAGCTGTTTTTTGTTTAGTACTTACTTCTGTACGGCGGCTGCTTATCAATTATTTATTTATAAAAATGTATTTCCAGAATTCTTATCGAGCTGCAATGCAAAAAAAAAAGATAATATTAGGCGTGAAAAACATAAATTATAAAACAGCTGAAATATGGCTAGAAATTATGAGATAAGTCATTATCATCATAAGCTGATAATAAGTGCTCAATGGCTCTCATTATTTATTAAGTTGGTCACAATTTATGGCCATGATAGGTATGTATATTAAGGCCATATGGACCTGACCATACAATGCATTACTTGGCCAACAAAACCAAACCGCATAATTAACAAAATGAATTACTGTTCGCAATAATTTGCATAATATTTGCACATATTTGTTGTTTCTAATATGCAAATTTTGTAGATGCCAATTTAATTTATTATAATTAACATGCAATTGTTTTTAGCTAAATTTTACAAGGCATAATTATTTATATTGCTTGCGGAAATTTATAAATATTTATTTCAAATGCAATTTTCATTTTTATATATATATATATATATATATTTCGTTGTATTTTTTTGTTCTACTAATAAAGTAATTCTAATTTTGAATAATTTAGTTTTACAAGCATAATTAATTATGACGTGTGCGGAAATTCATAAATATTTATGTCAAATGCAATTTTCAGCTTTTGATTAATTTATTATATCTCATTGAATCATATCTCGTTTTCGGATCAGGTACGTAAAGTGTAAAAGTTTTGAATTTATTTCAGTTTTTATTTTCCTCTTAGAGACACTGACAACTTCTTTTCTAGACTAGATCTAATGAAAAAAGTACCCTTCAAACATGCGTTTAAAAATTCCTACATTTTTACAAATTTATATTTTTCCAGCAGCAGTAAAGCTATTAATATATTTTTATTACATCATATTTAAAAATGCCTCCTTTTTTTTGTGGTTCCTTTTCATTTTTATGCAACACTTGCTTGTTATTATTACACCTTTGTTGCTACCCTAACTGGTTACGTGTTGGGTGCAATAAGAAAAGCAGTAGCTGCAGCAACAACAATAAAAGCAATTGAAACTGTATTACTTGTCTCGAGATAAAAATCGCATGACGATATCAACTTGAAGTGCCCAGTGGGTGTGCCAGAGTGTGTCTATGTGGAATGTCTACGTGTTCATGATGACCAACTTAGCAAAACACATACACACCGCATGCACAACATTTTTTTTCGAGTAACTAATCAGGTTACACTAATTAGCAACGCTTCGAATGCGAATGGGGAGGGCTGGGTTGGTATTGGGGGGAGTTTGGTGTTGATTGGAGGCCAGACTGAAACTGACAGCCAGTTGGCGTATAATATATTTAATAAATGACCCACAAAGTTTTCCTAATCAAAGTAAATTAATTAATTCGATTAGACTGCTGCCGCCTTTTGCGACATAATCTTAATTAATTGTTGTACGCCAAAATTGTTCTTGGCCATAATTTAATTTCATTTCATTACACTTCAATTGACAGCTGCAAAATCAGCAGCAGCAAAAGTAGCAGCAGCAGCATCAGCTACTGTTCCAAAGTGCTCAGATCTGTCTTTAAGAGGCTTAAAAACTTGACAACGAATTTCGCACGCTTTGCGTCGCCCACCAACTGCGACGCCAACAACAACAACAACAACAAAAACAGCAATAATAAATATGAGGCAACAAAAACAACCACAATGTTGGTAGATTTACGCCCTGGCAGTTCATTAAATGTGTGTTTGGGCAGCAATAAGCTAAAGCTGCTTACATCAACGATCAACCGATGAAGGGTTCTGGCTTAGTCATTGCTGTGTGTATTTATATAATGTAAATCATAAGGGGTATATGAACTACACAATGCTCTTTAACATTTATTTATAATTTTGATGATTTTTGTGAAATAGGATGATTTTTGTTTTAATTTCTGCAGTTATAAATTTATATTTCCATTGTTTAAAAAATTGATAAAAATCAGGTTATCAAACAGAATCGCATTTCAAATACGGTCTCGGTTCCGGCACGGCACGGTTAGTTTTTGACCAAGCCATGGCATTGGAAATTTTAAGAATTAGTTCCTATTTTGTTTCGTTATTTGGTTGCATCATGGACTAATAATATCAGTTACCCGTACTAATAATATCAGTTACCCGTACAGGTCTACATCAGAATGTTAAATTTCGGTTGCATACCTGAAATTAAATCAGTTAAGTTGCGCTTGTATCTCGAGTTCCGGTTTGATACCCTGCTTTACCTAGATTCTCATAGAACTTACAATTAGTATTGATGGAAAAGTTTTGTTAAATGATTAATAGCCAATTTATTTTGCAATATTTGATTAGTAGTTATGCATGTGAGAGAAACAATAAAATATCGCCTGTCCTATTTTAATTGTCTTATATTTTCTCTGTGTAGAATAACTGATTTATTAAAATCTTTTCGATATGCAAACTCGCATTTGTTTATTGTTATTTATTTTTCTGTTGTCAAAACACAACTTTATTTATTCAACATAAATCTTTTGTTTTAGAGAGTTCATTTCTTTTGCAAAAATAGTAATATGATTTCGTTTTGAAAGGCTCTCGACAAATTTAAAGTTTATTGCCTGGCTTTTAGAGTGTATTTCAAGATTCACAATACACCCAAAGCAAAAAAAGCACTTTATCATTTGTTTTTTTTTTTTTGTCGTAAGTGGCGTAAATTATTTGCTAATGATCGCAAAATGTTGCTGGCCATAAGCACTATTAAATTATATATAAACAAAATGCCTCTGGGCTCAGTTTATGTTTATGTTTTTTTTCTTATTTTTCTTGAGTTGTTTTGGCTTCAACATTTTTGACTTCTTGGGTACTTTTCTGAGTTTTATGTTTGATTTTTTTCGTCTTTATTTTTTGGCTGAAGCGTTTCATTCTGTTTTATGCCGACTCGCACGCTGTTCTCGGCCATTAAAATAGCTTCGTGCCGGCATAATATGATTAATCAATTTGAATGTACCCCCCGCTATCCTCTCTTCCTGTGTCTCTCTCTCTCTCTCTCTCTCTCTCTCTCGGGCAGTCGCCCTTTCTCGCCGTTCATCATCTGCAACGTCTTGATGAAGCGCAATTAATTGCTGCAAGTGCTGATTGTAAATACAATTTATGGGCATTTGCAACTGCAACTGATTGGCGAAGCCATCCACTGTGGGATTTCATACCCAATTTTAATCCATCAATTTCCCACTCCACTCCACTTCACTCCCAACCAGCGGAGGTTATCATCATCATCAAAATTCGTGGTGAAGGTCATCTGCATATTTATGCGAGTTGTGTTTGTAATATTTATTTCTGTTGCTGCTTTTTCTACACGCAATCGCTGCTTTTGAATATTAATACAAATTTATATAGCCAGTTTTCAAGTGTGACTATCTATCTTTCTCAATCTACTCCTCTCCCCTTATATCTCCCTCTCTCTCTCTCTCTCTCTCTCTCTCTCTCTCTCTCCTTTCCTAGCCGTTGTGACTAGCTATTTAAACATGTCATTTGTTATGCTTATTAATTTTGGTTATTATCATCCATTGGTTATTTGAGCTTATGGATTATTATTTTGTAATAGTGGACTTTCAGTTAAGATGCGCTGACACACAAAAAACATTTAAGCAGCTGAAACCTTTAAAGGAGAATGCACAAAGAGAAATTGAAAAAATAAGAGACTTTTTATGACTGCAACAGACTTGTAAAATTAATAAGTTTTGTAGAGTTTCAACTTGAATTTCCACTCAGAATCGCCTTTTTCAATTTTGAATGCATCTTTGATCTAGATGTCAGGAAAATCAGAACATTTTAGACCAAGCCATGGCATTGGAAAGTTTTGACCCATCACTACTAATTTTGGGAAATGACTTTTAATATGGGAATGAACCCAAAACCACATTTCAAACTTTCTCCGCTTTGGCAATATTATCTCTTCAAATCTGCCGCAGAAAGTTTGTAAGAATTTTTGCAGCAGAATTTTACCATTGTGTACCAAAGATCAAAGTTTTTAAAAAAGCTGTTTAACTTACCTAGCTACAAATACGCTATTTGTATTCATCAAATTAGCCACATTGAGAAAAACAAATGTACTCCAATTGCTTAATGCAAACAAGACGCAATTGTAAACAATTAGAAATTCCTAATAAAAAAAGCATTTCTAAGATTCAAGAGCTGAACAGACGCCAAAAAATACCAGCGTAAAAGTATCGCGATTAATTTATTTAGCACTAAGATAAAACTCAAAGGGAAATGGAGATTTGGAGAGAGAGAGAGAGAGAGAGAGGGAGGGGGGTTCTTTTGAGAGACTCCACTCAGATTGCGTTGCGTGGAATGCTACGCAGCGTGTTGTTGAAAGGAATTTAATTACAAAACAATAAAAGTTGTCAGCACAATTGGCAGCAGAAGACAACAAAAAAAAACCATGCCAGACAATAAGTTTATGTTTGTGCTGGGCGAGCAAACAAATATGCGAATTATTTGCGAGCACTGACACAATGCCAATACAAAATGCCAACTCAGCCAGAAGGGATGCCAATACCAATACCAATCCCAACTTGTGCTTGTCCAGCGGCAAGAGAAGGAGAAGGATGAGGACAAAGGTTTGACCAAAGTCACCGGTGCAGTCGTGTCAGCATCTGGGGAATGCAATTGGGAGTCTCCACCAGTGCTGCTGCTTCTGCTGCTGCTGTTGTTGCATAAATTGCAAATCATGCAATTTGTGTGCACTTCGAATGCAATCAGGCAAACTGTTTGATTTATGATCGCAGTTTTCAGTACGCCGTTTGCACTAATTTTTCAAATCAAAATGCTGACTCTGCACACTTAAAAGCCAGTCGCAACATAAAACATAAAATTAATCACAGCGAGGTGAGGTGAGGAGAGGAGAGGAGAGGACAGACAAGAGTTGAGTTGAGATCGCCACAAAAGTAGTTACAATCAATAACTCAAATCGATTGCACGAGTCCGTGAGTGAGAGTTGTGGCAAGAGCCAAGTCAAGCGTCTTCTTCTCCAATTCCTGCCTCGACCTCTGCTTTACTGCTGGCTTGAGACCAGTAATTATACAGGGA